AGGACTGAACAGGAGGGATGGGGTGGGTAGTCCCGAAGAGATTACGGGACTGATCAGGAGGGATGAGTGATTGTAGTACAGAAGGAGATTACGGACTGATCGGGAGGGATGAGGTGGGTAGTTAACAGGCTACAGCCCCAGAAATAACGGGCTACAGCACCAGATGATAACAGGCTACAGCACCAGAAGATAACAGGCTACAGCACCAGAAGATAACAGGCTACACACCAGAAGATAACAGGCTACAGCCCAGATGATAACAGGCTCAGCACCAGAAGATAACAGGCTACAGAAAACCAGAAGATAACGGGCTACAGAAACCAAAGATAACAGGCTACAGCACCAGATGATAACGGGCTACAGCACAAAGATAACAGCTACAGCACCAGAAGATACAGGCTACATCACCAGAAGATAACAGCTACAGAAACCAGAAATAACAGGCTACAGCACCAGATGATAACAGGCTACAGCACCAGGATTTAAACAGGCTACGAAACCAGGGACAATTGCAGAGTGATGATGGAAGGGACGAGCCACAAAGTTTAACCAGCGTTTTACCAATTCGATTGTACGATTTTCTTCAGATGGGGAGGTGCTGGACTCTGATCTGGGAAGCACTGAGCCCATGAGCATCTGGGAGGAACAAGTGGTGAACCCGCCGTAGAGGGTAGATCCCAGTAAGTCAGCAGGGCCTGATGGGGTTAAAGCCAGAGGACTCAATTGTGTGGCTAATCAACTGGCTTTCATACTGCAGCATATTTCCAACCTGTCCCTAATACTATCAGATATTCCTACTAAATGGAAAACATCCTGCATAGTGCCCATCTCAAAGAAAGCAGGAGGGGCTGCACTGAAACACTTCAGACCAGTGGCTTTGATGTCACAAGTCATGAAAACCTTTGAGCGGGTTTTACTACCCTTATTAAGAGTCGAGGTGGCAGCCGTTCTGGATCCTTTGAAATCTGCCTACAGACCAAAACCTGGTGTTGAAGATGCTCTGCTCTACCTCTTAAACAGAGGATATGAGCACCTGGAGAAGCCCGGCTGTGGTGAGAACAATGTTCTTTGACTTCTCCAGTGCTTTCTATACCATACAACCCCACCTGCTGGCCCAAAAGCTAAAGGACATTCACGTAAACCCACACACAATCAAACGGATTGTGAAATACCTGACCAATAGACCACAGTTGGTAAGACTGAACCAGGCTGTATCAGATCGGATATGTACAAACGCAGGGGGCCGGTCCTGTCAACTTTTCTGTTTACCCTTTACACACATGACTTCACACACAACAATACTTCGTATGTTCTATAGCAGTGTCGTAGCGAGGGTAGAGACATATATGCCATTGTGTGCTGGAAAGGGAATTTAGCTTAGGAAGACTTAAACAAGCTTGACAAAATCATTAAGAAATCCAGTGCTACTATTGGCTGCAGCCTGGAATCAATACAGGACATGTTCATAAAAAGACTGCAAGTAAAAACACACATGATCAAGGACAATGATACACCCCCACTCCACAGGGCCCTGATACACCCCCACTCCACAGGGCCCTGATACACCCCCACTCCACAGGGCTCTGATACACCCCCACTCCACAGGGCTCTGATACACCCCCACTCCACAACTCTCTGATACACCCCACTCACAGGGCTCTGATACACCCCCACTCCACAACTCTCTGATACACCCCCACTCCACAGGGCTCTGATACACCCCCACTCCACAGGGCTCTGATACACCCCCACTCCACAACTCTCTGATACACCCCCTCCACAGGGCTCTGATACACCCCCACTCCACAACTCTCTGATACACCCCCACTCCACAGGGCTCTGATACACCCCCACTCCACCGGGCTCTGATACCCCCCACTCCACAACCTCTGATACACCCCACTCCACAGGGCTCTGATACACCCCCACTCCACACTCTCTGCACCCCCTCCCACCTCTATACCCCCACTCCACAGGGCTCTGATACACCCCCACTCCACACGCTCTGATACAACCCCCTCCACTCTGATACCCCCCACTCCACAGGGCTCTGATCACCCCCACTCCACAGGCTCTGATACCACCCCACTCCCCTATCACCCACTTGGGCTCTGATACACCCACCCCCCACTCCCATCTTGATCCCACCGGCTATACACCCCTCCAGGGACCCCCCCCTGATACACCCCCACTCCACAGGCTCTGATACACCCCACTCCACACCCCCCCCTCTGATACACCCCCCCCCCCACAGGTTTTCCT